TGTGTGGTTTTTTTTTTTTTTTTTTTGGTTTTTGGTGTCTTTGTAATGGTTATATTTTTTACAGCATTTGTTCTTATCCATTCTCTCCTGTTTCAGACATATCAAAGAATGTGTTAACTTATAACCAATGAAGCATTTAACTCATCACAGAGGTGTGATGGTTAGTGTTCATTTTTAACTAGACAGATCTAAAATCACCTGAGAGATAAGTCTGTGGGAGATTTTCTTGATTTACAATTCAAAGTGGAAGCGCCACCCACTGTTGGTGGCACCATTCCCTGCCTGGGATCCTGGACTGTATAAATAAAGGAAGCAGGCTCAGAGCAGCAGCATCCACTGCTCACTCCTCCTGACTATGGTTGGGATGTGGCGCTGTGCTCCTGCTGCCTTGACTTTCTCACCTTGGTGCTTGTGTCCGGGAAGTATAAGCCAATCTTTTCTCCCGTAAGCTGCGTTTGTCAGAGTATGTCATCATATCAGCAGGAAAAGAAAGATATTGTCCTTTTCTAGTTTGAGTCATTCATGTGTACACACAGACACTCACATGTACATGCAGGCATGCTCATGAATATACACATCCTTCTTAGCACTGTTCATCTCTGTCCTACATTTCCTCACCTGCCCACATTGATCAAATATTCCTTCTATTTATTTTTTCTTAGGTTTTATACTTCTATAGATCACCTTGGCTTAGACCAAACATGTGTCTTCACCTCCAATGTCATTCCTTTGCTTGCTCTGTTTCTGCAAATGGTACTAGGATCTATTTTTATATTACCTATATATAGATCTCACATATATACAAATAAATGACATTTTTAATTGATTGCCCAAAAAAGATCTAAGGCAGCTTGCTCATATAGGTATCAACTTCATTTGTGTATGGAGCACTTTGGACCGAAGTCATGTTCTTTGGCTTTGCCTTTGTGGGCTGTGCTCTCAGGTAGAACACAGACATCTCTACTACTCTTCACACTTGGTTGAGCTGTGACCTGTACTCTTTTCAGACACTAAATAAGCATTTTCTGGTTCATTGCTCAGCCTCCCAGAGAAATAAATGTTGTTTCAAATGGTTACAACGAAGAGGAGGTGGCAGAAAACACTGGCAAGTGTTTCAAGGATTGAACTAACTGATCTCCTGTCGGACTGATTTCTGCATCTCTGCTGAAGCATCCTTTCTGCATCCTAACCCTGCCTATGCAAAACGAGAAGCAGTGAATGCTGCCTGCAGGAGAGTTAGTAGTTAAGTACCCAGTGAAGCCGGCACAAAGGTCCAGAATTTATTGTAGTTTCTTAAACAGTTTCTCACTAGATAAAACACACACACACACACACACACACACACACACACACACACACACACACACACACACAGCAGTATATAGATTTTCCCAAAAGAAAAACTAGGAAACATGAAATCAATCCTGTTTCATTTATTAAAACACAATAATAAGACAGAAATAGTGTCCTGTTTTTTCTTCAACTTGACACAAGCTAGCATTATCTAGCAAACAAGCAACAAACAAAAAACACACCTCAATTGAGAAAATGTCATTGTCAGATTGCCCACAGCCAAGTTTTGTATGGTATTTTCTTGATAAATGATGGATGTGAGACAGCTTAGGCCACTGAGGGTGACAACACCCCTAGGCAGGTGGTCCTAAGTTGTATACAAAAACAGGCTGAGAAAGCCATACACAGCATATCAGTAAGCAGTGCTGCTCCACGACTTCTGCTTCGGTTTCTGCCTTTTGGTTCCTGCCTTGAGTTCATACCCTAAATTACCTCAGTAATGAAGAGTTTTAAAATGAAATAAACCCTTTCCTCCCCAAGTTGCTTTTGGTCACAGTTGCTTTATCAGAGCAGTAGAAACCCCAATTGAGAATTTCTACAAATGGTCTCATAACTTTTCTTGTACACATACATGCAAATGTTTATAGTTCTTTCTAGTATAAATAAAATTTTCTCTACTATGGCTATCCATAGGCTAATTTTCAATACATTGTTTAAAGGTAATAAGACAATTAAAAATTACTGGATAGATCATATTTGAGAGTGTACATCTTCCTTGTTAGGTTACTTTAAGTCTCTTATATTAGTCTGGAATGGCTGTAAGAGATACTGTAGAGTGGGTGGCTTTAACCAACATACATTTACTTTTTCACAGTTCTGTAGTCTGAAAGTTCCAAATCAACACTGAACAGGTTTAGTTTTTTCTGATGTCTCAATATGCTTGCCTTGTAAATGTCCATTTTCTTGTTGTGTCATTCCATGGCCTTTTTTCTATGACTATACCCTGGAGTCTCTTCCTCTTTTTATTAGGTCACTATTCTCATGGACTAGGGTTGTGCCCCGTGGTCTTCTTTTAACCTTAATTAGCCTCCTCATAGAACCTGCCTCTATATATGATCACACTGGGATATTGTACTTCAATGCAATTGGTGAGAACACAGTTCACTCCATAACAGTACTTTATACAGTTATGAATGGTAAGTGACACTTTGGTGTCCAGGAAAACAATTACTATGTGCAAGAAAACATAGGTTAAACAGGTCAAGAAAAATCCATAACCAACTTTTAGGTTCAGATGTCTCTCTTTCTACAAATAAATAGAAAGTAACTAAAGTTAAAGCCAAGGAATGAAGAATTGAGTATAGCTAAAGGCATTAACAGCATGGAAAGGGAGAACTATGGCAACAAGAGGTGTGATGCCTCAGATGTGTAAGGGAATTTTCTGCTGGTTTCCTGGTATTTATTTTCAACAGTTACCATATGCTTGTTGTGTTTCTATGATGCTCAAGACTGACTATTTGGTGTAAAAAAAAAAATGTTTACCAAAATTAAACTACAGAAGGGAAATGACTTTCATTTAATTTCAGAAATCTCTATTTTATGAAAAATAATAGATTAGATTAAGAAAGTAGTAAAATGAGATAATAAACAGAACTATGATTAGTATGAATTCACTTTAGTTGATGTTATTAATGGCATTGCTGACATGAATTAAATAAAGATTTGTGTTTAATAAACTCCATGTTTCATACAAGAAGTTGGCTTCCTCTCTCAATACCACCACCATAAAATGAAACTTGCCTCTACTTCTATACAATAGTGGGAGATGAAGTTTACCTGTGTGGGCATATTTGATGGTATCTAAACATGGGTAGCCCTACACACAGCTGTTTCCAGCTGTCAGGGTTGGGGCATTGGTAACAAGGATGCTGCAGGTACAGAAAGCGCTACTTAATCTCAGCACAGAAAACAAAATCTGTTTTCCTCCACATTCCTCCACATACCAAACAAAGTACATGGAACACGGGTGTGAGAAGCATGCACATTGTGTAAACAGGGAGGAGAACTTGAAATATATCATCTGAGATATGTAAGAATCAGCTGCAAAGTTGCTCTGGTGGCAGGCTTTCAAAGAAACTGAGTGTTGATCTTGTACAAGATAGCAAATTCAGATTACTCCAAATTCCATGTTCTAATGTGATAACATTTCATGAAGATTTTATAGCAGCAGAACAAAGAACAGCATAAATTGAGGCATTTTCCAAGTACAGTAGTGGTGGAAAAGTCACAGCGAAGCAGTGACCCCTCTGCTATAGGCCTCAGAAGTTATCTGATGGAATTCTTAGCTTTTGGGATGGCAGTTAGCAAAGAGGCCTATTTGTACATTGCTCAGGTCGTGTTAAAGTGACAAAAACCAAATAAACCACTTCTGTATTTTTAAAACAATATGAATAAATAAGCATAAATTTCTTTCTTAAAATTGCAAATCCATTCCTTTTTTGTTTGTTAATCATATGCCCCAGGGAATGATGTAATCAGCTAACCTCAAAACAGTACATTCAAAATACAAACACATTTAGCTCTCTTATTACCAAGATTCTCAGAGAAAATATTCATTCAGTATGTGCAAGAAAATGATGCAGTAAAGGGAGCAGCCCTGCACAAAGGTGGGAGGAGGTGTCAGGAGTCTGAAAATGGCTCTCTTGTGTTTGGCACCTTTTCTAGGACATGTCACTCTGACAGCCTGCTCCTTCGTTTCTTGAATTATTTCACCATTCTATACATTGGGAAACACTGTGGGCAGTGTAAATAATTCTCAGCCACTAAAATGCAAGCCAGTTCACAAGGTGGCCTGCAACTGATTATCCCCCGGGGAATTGCTATTGTTCTTTTTCATTGGCAAGAAGCCATTGAGATTCTTTGTGCCCCTCTTAATCAGTCAGATTCCATTCTTAACAAGAATATATATATATATATATATTTTTTTTCTTTTTTGATGTGTGTTTTAATATTTATAGTAGCGTGTGGTATGTGTGTGGTGTGTGCACATGTGTAACCGGGTGAGTACCTGTGCATGGAAGCCAAAAGACCAACAGGTATCCTGCTTTATGGCACTCCAACTTATGCCCTTGAGACAGGACCTCTTACCGAACCTGGAGTACACTCTCAGATGAGTAGACAGACCCACACGATCCTGTTCAAGTGTTCACTCCTGCAGCACTGGGGTTACGGGAATTCACCTGGCCATCCGACTCTTAAGCAAGTGCTAGGCTTCATTCTCGTGCAGCAAGCTCTTTTACCCACTGAGCTATTTCCTTTCTTCCTTTCATATTTTCTAGATGTTTCCTTATTTGTAATAATTTCGTACATTTATATGATGAAATATGATCTTATCTACATCATTTTCCTCCTGCAAATCTCCCCGTATCCCCCCAACATGCCCTTTTCCAATGTTCTCTTGCTCCCTCCCTCCAAGTCTAGTCAGTGCTGTCCCTATGTGCACATCTGTGGGGCCATCCACTGAAGCATGGGAAATCTATCAGTGGCAGTTTCACTCTTGACACAGTCACCATTGAATGGGGAATTACATGGATATCTTTCACATATTCTTCTTTCTGTCACTCACATTTAATCCTTGGCATTTTAAAAGGTTGATTTGAGCTTGATATCTCCAGGAAAGCCTAAGATACATTTTCCTTCTCTTTTAGCTTCAGACGAGCTTGACTGAACCAATGACGTTATCGAAATCCATCTCTCTTCCACGTAGTGCATACTGGCATCACATTACGCGTCAGAACAGCGTTGGAGAAATCTACAGCTTGCAAGGCAAGTAGCTCTACAGTGACAAAAGGACACTGACTGCCATCCGCTTCCTCCTGTGGGGTAGTCGTACAAATGGCTGTGTATTTGCATTGCTCCCTTTTCTTTTGTTTCCACTCATCAACTGTCTCAGGGCACAGGAGGAACTCTGAGATTCACCATAACTTTTTAAAAACTATCATTTTATACATGCATGCTATAAAGTGATTCCTAAAATTATTGTGATGGTTAAGGACCAAATTTGGCAGAAGATGTTGACTAAAACATTATACAAAGCACATCGTGGAAAGCTGAAAGCTGAATGCTGAAGTCTCTGTTGTGCTGTTTTACAAAGGACTTCTTTTCCGGCACCATTTATTCTTCCTAGGATTAAGCATCTGGTTAGGAGATGGTTTCAGGCTTGGTACTAAAATGCTTCATGAAGTTACCCACTGAAACTTTCAGGTGTAGCCAACGTCTTAGCAGGGAGACCCACTGAGGAGGGGCAACATAAAAGGGGTGGAATGTAAGCAGGATGCTGCCTCTGTGGTTTTCCCAGTGACCAGCTAACAAATATGGGAATGGTTTGCTGGATAAGGGGACTAGAGAGGTATCTGACAACTGATGTACAGCCACAGAAATCTTGCCATTACCCTTCCTATCCTTTCTCTTTTATTTTAAATGATTATTGTTATCCTTCATATAGAATATTCTCTCTGGAGGAAGAAACTTAAGAATAATTCTGAAATGTGCCACTGAAAACACACATTAGGCTTGAATGAGGTAGGCACCTAGTAAAATACCTAGTGAATGCATAACTATTAAAGCCATAGTTTGGAGTTTCTGTTCATTTTCTTGCTTTCTTTCTATACTTTAGCTTTTGTATTTATTAACATCACTAATTGATTTGCTACACAAAAATTATATTACAAGCAAAGTAAAACAATGTGAATGTTTTATAGTCTTATTTGCTTGCCAGAGTTGCAGAGAGATGAATGAAATTTGATTACCAAGAAATGATTAAAAATAAGTTCTTCAAGGAAAAGGAGTTGGAAGGACTTTAGTCATTTATAGAAGGCAATTGCATTTTGTACTTTAAATGGCCATTTAAATTTATGGCTGACTTGATACTTGTTCTTAAGACAGTGTTTTTTAGTGTTACCTATTTTGGTGAGAAGATATTTATAATACTAAGGACTGAAGGTTAGGGAAAGCAAATGAAACTTTCCTAAGGAGTTCAGAAATCAGAGAAAGAGAACAGGAGTATGGCTTAGTACTCAAACTCTTGTCTAGAATGTTCCAGGCTCCCTGCTCTCGGTACCAGAAAACAGACAGAAAGAAAAGGACCAGGTGTGATGGCCCATAGGCATGCAGGCAGTAGAGGGAGAAGGATCTATGTAAGTTTGAGACTAGCTTGTTCTTCAATGAGTTCCAGTTAAGCCAGGGCCACATCATAAGAATGTGGTATTAAACATAAATCATCCAGAAAGGTTCAAAGTGAGTTCCAGATAAGCCAGGGCTATATCATAAGAACGTGGTATTAAACAAACAAAAAAAAAGTCCAGAGAGCAAAATGAGTAAGTTAGTTTCTCCTGTGTCTGCACTCCACTGCCCCCTAAAATAGTTCATAATCTTCTTTGATTGACCCTGCCTTTTGTGTTAAGGTTTTTAAGGTTATAAATATGGATATACAGATAGTACTATTCTCAAGCAGAAATTGGAATATATGAATCAAATAATTGATATTAAATATCTAAGTAAAATAATATGACAGGTTAATAAAAAGGGTTGGAAGACAATTTATGAACTCTGCTTTGCTTGTTGATATGGTTATGAATTCCAGAATAACACAAGGTTGTTTCCATGACCACTTAACTGAAGCTTTTCTCCAATGGAGGAGTTAATATTTAGACTGAAAATTAACTTTAGTTTGCTTTTTATGTGAAATAATTTCACATCAATAAAATAACTAGGGAAGGTTGGTTGAACTATCTCTTGAAACACTGCTAGACATTCTTTGAAGGACAATGTTAATTTTGCATTCTAAAATCTAGATATTAACTATTTAAAATTTATTTGATTGGTTATTATTTGGTACTATATACATATAGACATATGGGTATATTTTCAACATAAATTCTATTTTATTAACTGTGGGTTGACTGTTGCACTGCATTTTTCTAGACTAATACACCTTAACATTTGGTATGGCCTTTTTTACCATAATAACATACATAAGGGTGGTAATAATTATCTAGATAGTCAGGTAGAGATAAAATAAGTAGTTAGATTCAAAGATGGGTAGACAATAGGTAGATAGATGGTAGGTAATAGTTATAGATATGAACTTGTTAGGAACACTTGGCAAAAATGAATTATTCTGTGATAGCAGTCCACATAAGCAGGGGACAGGAATCCTCAGAAGTTTTCCTCATTGGAACTAAATTCTACTGGAATCAGCATTAAATAAAATTACTGAAACAAGGGAGAAATAAAAATAGAAGCAATGAACTTTCAGTACCCTTTTGTGAATCTCTAATTTTAGCAAAACTGCATGTACAAGTCTGGTTATCTTGCATCCTTAGTTGTGACCCTGACTCGGCAGCATTTCTTTTTCACGGTTGGCTGTCATTGTGCAGTTTGCAGAGGCTAGTAATGTGAATGTTACTTGTCAAGCATATCAGTCAGTTTTCATGCATACAATCTCCATACCCCACTATTCTCTGGTTAGCTGATTTGTTACTGTTTTGAAAAACAAAAACAAAAACACTGTACTAAGGTAATTACTGTACATCAAATAATAGAACCCATTCAATGTAAATTATATCTCATTGACTGTGAACAAGAAACAGCCCAGGAGAGGAGAGGTTCTTTTACAGTTCAGGGAAACACAGTCACCATGTGTCAGCTGAAGCACAAAGCAGCTGGTCACATTGAGACTTTATTTGGGATGCAGAGCAAAAAGAAGGCTCCTCTCCACTGGCTTTCTCCTTTTATTCAGGCCAGGACCCAAGCACATCAGATCATTCTATACACATCCAAGACAGGTCTTCTCTCTTAAGTTACCCCTTTCTAGAAACACTATCATGGCTCAATCCGAGACTGTATTTCCATGGAAATTCTAAATCCAGCAGAACTGGCAAAGAAGATTAGCTATTATATCAAGTAAACCACGGGTAGGATCCAGGAATGCAAATTCATTTAGAATTTTCTCATCATATTTTTACATTCGAGCTATGAATCTGCAGATCAATGTGGATTAAATTCAGTGAGGTTTCATTCAGAAAGAAAAGGAGAAAAGTTTTATGTGCTCCAAGTTTAATAGACTGGATTCATTAATAAGCAGCACATGTACTAGAGCTGAAAAAATTCATGGCCTGAAAACAAACTAATCTATATGAAACTTACATAAAACTTGGAATGCCTGTCAGCTCCTATGCTTTACACTTGGCTAAGTTTTGCTCAATTCATTTCTTTGTATGTTGCCAGATACCCCTTTAAAGACAAATATGTCAATAGTGAGATGCAGCATTCTGTTTTGTGACTGGAGAATAAGTACCATAGAATAAGCTGGTCTCTCCATAATACTCCCAGAGGGCGCTCTGACAGAATGAGAGATTGTGGAGTCAGGATCAAATAAATGAGAAAAGAGACCATTAGCTTCTAACAAGCCTCCCATTGTCCTGAGTGATAGATAGCCACTCTTCATCACCTTGACCCCAAGTAGCTCCTGATAGGTCAACTTTGTCCACTTTTCCTTGCAAAAGTGAACTTCTCTTTATTTTAAGAGGTAAAGATCTTTAATTTGTATTAGCAGGTGATTTATTACCTATATTTATCTAACTTCCTCTCTGTCTATACAAGTGTTCATGTCACAAACATACAAAAATGCTTTCACTAAAATCAAGGAAGCATATGCTATTGAAGAAAACACGATTTTGAACTTTTGACTCTGAAATTATGTTTGAAAATTGCTATTCTTATAAACTGTATGTTTACTTTTAAGCCACTGGGATAGATGTGGAGAAGGAAAGGGGGAGAGAGGAAAGAAAATTAGAAAATATTGAGGGAATGGATCAGTCTGTTTCTGGTGTTTTGGTAACAGCTCATAGAAAGATGAGCCTCTTCTAGAAGCAACACTTTCTATTAAAATAAAGATAGAAGGAGAAAGAGGAATTGGCAAGGGAAGACTGAGAGGGGACACTGTTACTGAGCATAGACATTCCCTATTACTAGTCACTAATTTAGCATGCACACAAACTGTTCTGAAGCTCAGTAATCTGCCCCTTTAACCGTTAACTCAGTTTCTCTGCTCCTCACCTGCTGCCCTCCCACTGGGATTAGCTTTTCTTCAATAAACCGTACTGAAAGGGGAGTTGAAGCGGTCTCAGAGAGTGTGCTTTGTGGGGCACGCTATTCTTAATTTTCTGATATATGTAATCTCTTATTTTCATATAAAATTAAATGGGATAGATATACCTTGCATTGTTTCTGAGCAGTTTGAACAAAGATGGTTGGGGCTCCGTCTTCTGCAAAGGTGGGAGCTTTAGAAGTTCTGCTTTCATTAACACCGATTAATATCCAAACACCAGCTCTGAACTGCACGCCCTCTTCTGCCCTCTGTGTGTCCGTAATTAAGCTACAGACCACCAGTGTCAGCACCGAAGATTACCTAATTACACCAAAGGCATTTGATGCTCACGGAAAGGACATCTGTGGCTCCAATTTCTCAGAAGGACAGGACAGAAACAGACAATTAGAATTAGAGATAACCTTCAGAAAATGCTAAAGAAAATTTCAACATAGACTAGTGAGGTAAATTAAAGGCTTTATTTATTCTTCAGTTAGCTATGACCCTCTGTCCTTCTTTACATCCAATTCAGTTTTACATTTGAATTCTGTATAATTTTCCCATTGATATTTTTCTATTTAAAATTTCATCATGACACATTTTCCCGATTACAAAGTAAAAGCCTTCTTAAACTTAAAAACTAATACAGAAATTTGCAGTAAAAGTAAAGAGTAGT